GAACGCTTGCAAAATATGCTGCGACTACTAGACCTGATTTGGTCTCCCTCGTCGAGGATATTCTTCGGTGGGATGTCATGTGAGCAAACTTTCATGTCCATTTTGCAGAGGCACTACATAATCTCCTTGCAGTGGTCAATTCTGCCTTACTGAGCTGGGGAGAGGCCTAGACATTTTCCGAATGAAGACATCAGCGACACTTCTTCCAACAGGCGAATTCGACCTCCATACACCGTCGCCCTCGGATGCCAAGTACGAGATCAGTATATCTTTGAGAGCTGCTAATCACGATGATGCAGGTTCATGCCGCCAACCATTCCAGTGAAAGGTCTTCCATGCGTCGGCGTTGTTTTCGCACAACTGTACGTGGACGGCGAATGCCGAGGACCTCGACCGTTTATTGTGAATCTGAACGACGGATATGATATGTGCAACGGGGTGACTTCAATGCAAATGTTTTTTAAATTTTATTTCACCGATTTCAAACTTATTGCTCTATGACTAGGTTGCTACCACCTAGAGGAGGCTCGTCCCCCGTCAATCATGCGCTCACAAGCTTCCATCACGTCCGCTTACCGCCTTCGGCCCTTCTCGGGGACCTCACCAAGTCCGACACAATCCATCGTGACTTCATGTCGTCTATATGGCGTGTTATGGTCGGGTCGCTAGCGCTCAGCTCACTTGCGATACCTTATCTCCAGGTGGGATCGTTCGTCGCCGCGCGTTACTTTCAGCGTCGTCATGTCACCAGTTTGCAAGGAAATCCTATGCCCATAATTTCATACCGAACACAACAGCTCCCTTTATTACACGCCATTGCTCAGGCGTTCGTTCTGAGAGCGCTTCACAAATGGGCTGTCGAACAGTTTATGGACCAGAGTATTGATGTGCGTGTGCGACACGGCATCGCGGCTTGCTGCAAAGCAGTCATGCTTCAGCATGCACAAGTTGCAAATTACGCACTGTCTGAAAGGCTTGGAGCCCAAGGCCTCTTCGAATATAACCAGCTGTCCAACTTTTATGTACGAGCGCCTTCTCTTTGACAGTCATGCTAGAGCAATAATTAATCTGTTTCACAGAGCGAGGTGAGAGGAATTAGCATCGCTGAAGGTGACACTTTAGGTAAATGACTTTTAGCCTCTTCCGGTGACGTGATGCTGATAAAAGATTCCAGCGCTTTCCATGCGTCAGTACAGTACATCGATGTTCGCACCAACCAAAGACTTACAGATAAATTATAGGACTCGTGGCAGACACCTTGTCGCAAACGTACGAGTTACCTTTCTCGACACACCCAGATGGGTCACTTGCGATGCACGAAATCTCGTTATTCGACGAGGCAACCGAGACAGTTTCCTCCTCGTCCGATTTCACGCAGGCGTTCATGCAATACGTGCAGCCACGCTGTCAGCAGATGGTCGAATCCATGGGACACCGCATGGCCTATGATGCCGCTGTCGACCAAGGGATCTCCCAATATCTTGTCAATCTGTATAACATCAATGCGATCAAGACAGATGCCGCGTGGTATGTGGAACATGGCGCGTTTACGCGGAAGGCCATCATGCATATGGAGGATGCTGCTTTGTCCGCAGCTTTGCCTCGCCTGGAGGAGTTGCTCACTGCGATGGAGGTTGAGCCATACGTGTCGTCACCTATCATATCGGATAAGCGATGGGAGGAATTTAGCAGGATGCTGCCTGTCTATAGTTCCCTTCAGGCTCAGGTACTAGCGGCGCGACTTTAGTTTTGGAGCGAGCTCGAATTTGAAGTTCTGGGTTCCTACAACCTCGCATAGAATATGAGAGATCTTTAGAGACGGTTGCTCATAACTTTCCGTTAAGTTCATTATTAGCTAGTGGCTCGTTTTTCCCCCCATTTACTTTCAATGTGTAAAAAAAATGCCATACTCTACGTGATGTTATCCAGTGCCTACGTAGTCAAAGTTTGAGTACCGTGATGGTTCCTAGAGTCTCCGGCTCATTCGTATACACGATTCTAGAGCTTGGATTTCCCTGAGGAAATAACGTATTTCCTGTGCAGAAAGTTGGCAATGACTTGCGCTGTGTGAACAGTTAGATGGCAAACGATTAATCCTTCATGTCAACATACCAAGCTCTTCTGGAGCCTCTTGAGGGATCTAGGTCACACTTATGTTAGTTGTATAAACAATCGAAGAAGAGATACAGACGAGATGGCCAGATGACTTGAAGATGATGTTAGATGAATTGGCAGGTCTGCGCCAAGCACGCTGCTTCCTATCTTCCACTAGCATCGACCTGTCGGATAACGCCTATCAGTCAGCGAACTTGGTCCTGCCGTCCTGGCTTACACATCCTGGCTTGGTTTTCCGGGAAGAATCCACAGTAGCTCAATACTTTCGTCAAGCGTTTCCATCAATTCCCAGGTTTCAAGGCTGACTAGTGGGTTCGCGAGGATAAGAGCCTCGTGAACGGAAGACGTATTCAATCTGACGCCTCCGCTATCATCCTCGTACAGTCCAAAGTCAACATAGAGTTGAAGGACGTCAGGATGCCAAGCGGAGAACATGGGTGAAGATTTAAAGGAACGCAGGGCATCCTCCCTGTAATCATAGTCAGTAGTACTCCGATGCAAGAGTATAGTCAAAGTTTAATCACCGTGTTGGCCATTGATCACGCCTTAACAAAGTAGCCCCAACCAACCACTGCGTGTGCTCCCACGTATATTTTTGGTAAGTATCAATCATCGCGTCGAGGAGAATCATCGAGGAGAACAAGGCAGGGAAATGCAACGCGGTCAACGTCCTGTTCAATATTGTGAGATTCGAAAAGTCTCCGAGCTGCCAATAACATACACTGAGCAACCTCCAAACGAATGTCCTACCACGATCAAGGTCCGGGAGGAGAAACCACTCTTTTGACGTGATTCACCGATGGATGCAGGAAGTCGATGAAGTTGAATGGGGAGAGGTGTTTCTGCCTCTTCTGGCATATAGTTAATGAGAAAGTTTGCGATGTCTCTCGCGTTGTCAGTCCAGTCAACTGCTGTCGATTAGATCCAAGCAATAGGTCTGAGCAACTGCATCTCACAGGTACCACTGAGATTCTGTTTGTTCAGCAGAGCAGAGTCGCCATGTTGCACGAACTCCCATGACCATATCTCGTCTATGAGACCACAAGCAGTTAGTAGATAGCATAGGGTGGTCTCCCAAATCTAAGTATGCATGATGCATAGTCAGATTCTAGCATGCGGACTGTGAGTAGGCACTCACTTCCTTCGGAAAGCCTGCTCCGTGCACAAGGAATAAGGTGATCCCCTTCGTTCTGACTTTGGCGTCTCGGTCTTTCTTCACATATCGGTTGACACAATTCCACAGCAACCTTTCGTTCGCAACCTCGGAATAACTGCCCTCCACTAACCGGGCCTGTTGTTCCATGAGTTCGAGTCCCATTTTCTTGATATCCTGCCCGGTTCTTTTCGAAGAGCGAGGCGGCGGCTCGGGAACTGGAATATCTGGGGTGACCCTGGGATTAGCTCCAGGTATAATATGCGTGCTGATGTTGTAGATGCCGAGCAAGTCATCGGACCTGGGCTTGAAGGGCAGGAACGGAACTTTGACGGGCCCTTCATGAGACTTGAATGGTACCCATGGGCGCGGTTTCACGGTCGCCCGGAACGTTGTAGGTGTGTAGGGATATGAGGATGTCATGGTTGTAAGCAACCGTTGCCTTCAGGTTGAAGCTAACTTTTCTATGATATGATGATTAGTTCCGATACACGGATTGGCTATCTTGCAGAATATTTAGAGAGACCTCCGTGATACTCGGTGGGTACGATGCCGACATGTGTGTTCAATCATTGGATAGCATGGCATCAATCGATCGCAGGAAGCTGCGCGTCGTGATCAGAAAGCACGTGATGGAAATCAGCCTAGAAACGATCCTTGAAAGGAATAGACTGACCTTTTGAGTACTAGCCTATGGCTATACAATTACATTTTCAGTATTAGCCCGGTTGCATGTGCGATGGTTTCGGAGGTCTAAGCCTGGTATACTAGATCATTTTGTACATGAGTATTCAGTACTCAGTAGGTATCCAGCACAAACCACGTCTTGACCATTCCTGCACAGGCATGACGATGAAGTTGACTGTGGGTCCTACCCTTCCTATATTCGACGGATGTTAGCAGTGAGTCAGACTCGGGGTCTAACATGTCAACAAAGGAGTTCTAGTCGCCGAAGCCTAATTCAATCCTCAACTCGGTCTCGGGCTCCCTGATATGGCATGTGCACCAGCTGCACAAAAGTTCAAGGCATGACTGAATCAGAAAAAAAGCAGTCCACAACGAAAAATAATCACGCAATTACGATCGAACCCAATAATATATAGCACAATAATCACGGCTCCAAGTCTACGACGAAAACTTGAGCGCGCCAGTCTTAGGGTCCGTGAACGTGAACATCGCAGAGTGCGACACGAGCAACGCAAAGGTCGCGGTCCTAAATAAAAGTAACGTATATACAAGTTAAATCTACGGACTGCACAGCGCGTACGACGAACTCACATCAAAGCCGTCCAAGGCGTGCTCCCACCCTCCTTTGTCCGAATGGGGTGTTGGTTCATGAAGCTGCTGAGCGCGAGGAGGGCTACTGGCCATGCTAAGTACCTGTGATGGGATGAGTTGAGAGTAAGAACAGCATGGAAATATGGCATACCGATTTCTAGAAACTAGCACTAAGCCAGCGAGGAACATGCCCATCGAGCCCATAGTGTCTGTCGAGTCAGTCACAATGAGTTCCGTGGAAGCGAGCGAATGTGCAGTACTCACCAGCAGACTCTGCATGCCATGTTTTTGGCAGAGTCAGCTTGGTTTCTCGAGTCGAATCTCTTGCGTCTGCAGTGGACATGGCGGAATCAAGACCAAGCAAAACGTATGCGTCGTTACTAACGCATTACTCACGTGACTGCTTCCAGCCAAAAGGTACAAAGTACAAAGACTTCTACTGACACCACCAACCATGTTCCCCACCCCCCAAATCCTATCCTCAGCCCTCTCCAAACTCTCCACTCCCTTCCGCCGCTCCCAACTCGGTCTCTTCCACGGCAAAACCAAACAATACGGAAACAACGTCCCGCATTCAAAACACAAAACCCGACGCACATGGCTCCCCAACGTTCACACCAAACGGCTGATGTCGGATGCCCTAGGGCGGGATCTGAAAGTAAAGCTTACGACGCGTGCGCTTAAGAGTATTAAAAAGGTGCGTTTTGTGGCTTGTGTTTTTATGTTTTGTGGGATCTCATTTTCGCTTTTTGGGAGTAGCATGGTGGAGTTGATAATTACCTCCTACGGACTAAACCCGATTTGTTGGGTATGGAAGGGATGCGTCTCAGGATCTTGGTACGCGAACGGTTAGACGTTAAACACGCCGAAGACGAGGCTTTGGCACAAGCACAAGCGAAGATCCAGCTTCAGAAAGAGATGAAAGAAGCAAAACAGAAACGCAGAGCACAAGCTGCACATGTGCGGAAAACGAGGGAGGTGAGGCAGAATATCACTGGGGGAATATTTGGGTCGGTGGGGTCGAGTACGCATCTTAATGCGTCATAGCCGGTGAGTGAGGGTTGTTCAGTGCTTCTCGGAAGATATCTGAGCCGACAGTTCTGTTGCCAATATTGCAGATGCGACGTGCGTAGCTGTCTGTAGTATATACTCTTAGATAATGCCTTGAATTTCGACGACCCAACTTAAACTCGCGCATATAACATTTCATTTCAGGCAGCCAGCACCCTATCGCATGAATAATCTACTAAGGCATGTTTATATACCATACCGTGATTTATGTAGTGAAAGATGAACGAATAGAACCATAAAGTAGGAGCGTGATGTGGCTATAGATATAAACGATAACCAGATTATTATCTGAATAGTCCCAGAGCAGTGCAGTGCGATAACGAAATCGAAAACCTGTTTAACAAATAACAAGAAAAGCAAGGAAAAACCGGAGACGTAGACATAGGAAAAGAAAGACCTTTACGATCATGATGCAGCCCCCGTACGGAACACCTTCCGCCACCACGTGCGCTTCTCCATAATAGTCATATTCGATACAGCAGTGCTCACTCCCACTCCATCATCACGATTGACTCCTGATCGACTCGCAGCCATACTCTTCACAGATGGCGCACGTAACGAGCTAGTCCACTTCGAATGCACACTCTGATAATCGCTCTCCAAGTCCAAGCGCGCTGGAATAGGGTGGTTCAAGTCCACGGAATTCGAATTCGAATATAGAGATTCGTCTGCGAGTCTTGTTTCATCCTCGCCCTCCCCGTAAACTTGGACGTACCCGTCTTCTGTGATGGGTTCTCGGACGTGGTCATGCAACTGTGCAGAAGGCTCGTGGAGATATGTGAAGGGGGTGAGTTGTCCTGGAGATGTGACAGGTACAGGATTAAACAGCGCTTCGATAAGCTTCTCTGTCCCGCGGATACCGCGAGTGTTGGGGAGTTGGCTCGCGTCCAACGGATTCTTTTTCCGTTTGGGCCCGGGTTTTCCGGAAGAGTGGGTCGAGAGGGTGGATACAGAGGAGGAGGATGAGTTTTCGTTTGCGTAGAGGTCGAGAGTGCGTGGTCGTGTTCGGAAGATGTCGTTGTCGAGTAGACCAGCTACCCCGCTTAAAATCTCTCCTTTAGGGAGAGGTGGGGCGATGTATGATGATTCGCCGCCGATGTGTTCTAGTTGAACGGTGAGCTATGAGGAAATGAGAAATATGTCCAAAAAAACAGAGACTGATGGTAGAAATACCTTGAGGGTAGCATTAGTCTTGCTTTGCCTAAGCAAATAACGGCGAGTGACGACTCCAGCGTCTACGTATTGAGCCAGATTTAAGCTGACAGCACCAAGCCTAGGGTTTCGGGGTGCATCCGGATCGCCTGGAATAACTCGCTAGGGGATACAATCAGGAAAGATGACAAGACAGAGCTAGTACGTAAAAACATACCTGCATGACGACGAACTTTGCCTCACAACCTCCGAGCTCGTTAGTTTCCCTGGTAATACTCATCTGCACCATAACATCAAGGGTCTGCTCCCACACCACGCTGTGTTCCTGTAGCTGTTCGAACGTAGTGTGACCTTTGGCGGGAGAATACGCATTCGGAGGTGATTTAGCAAGAGAAGGGGACGGGTCTGGTGGGGTAGACTGTGGTAACCAGTCAGCGGAAAGGTATTGTGGGGGTACATGTTGAGGACGAGATGATGAACCAGTCGTGGTGCGCGTATCTGAGGTTGGACCAAGGGATGTGGGTGTGTTTGAGGATACTATGACCGAGGGGATGGATAGTTCGTGTGAATGGGATGAGGTTGAGTTGGCGATGCTTTGGACGTCGGCGTCGGGGGTGGGTAGGTCGATTTCGCTTTCGTGAAGCTTTTCCTTCTCTTTCCCCTTAGCTGAAGCAGAGATTCCGTTTACTTTGCCCTTGCGATTGCTCTTCACCTTGCCCAATAGACCACCGCCGGAGGTGACCCCCTTGAGCTTCCAGCGCACTTCGAATTCTCCGTTGACGAAGGGGACGCTGCTGAGCTGATGTATTGTAAGGCGCAAGAGGAATATAGCATGGCGAGGCAAGAGATGTGCGAGTTGGGCACGAAACCCTGAGGTAGCATGGGTAGGGCTAGCGGGACTAATTGGAGATTTCGGGCGGGCATCAGGCGTGGTGCGCTTGTGATGAGCTGGCGAAAGACAAGGTTTCTTAGCGGGAGATGAACGTTCCCTGACTGGTGGTGGGTGTCGAGGCATGAGAAGACGAGTATCCCAAGTGGAACTAGTTCAATGCTGACTTGCCAATTGTAGCTTACATGCAGAACAATGCCATCAATTAATGACGAGATTTCTTATCCACCCGCTTAGCACGGAGAATCCACAATCCACAATCGTGTATATTTTTCAACAGTTTACGTCTTAGAGTGTTCCACCTTGCAGTGTCTTCCTCTCGCCAAGTACTACGGGATTAAGTTTCAAAACGTCATCTTGCGGCGGAGGCGTGTATGTCGTCTCAGAGTTAACTTAATCCACTTTATTCGGTTCTATGTAGAACACGTACATCGACGTAAATTTGCCTTGACCACGCAAACAAGGTCGTCTACAAGTACCACAAAAGGTTAGCGGACTCGAAACATTTGATCCACCATTGGAAGCATGGTCAGCGGAAGTTCGGTAGTTGACGTAAATTTGCCTCTCAACAAGGTATGCCACATTTGAGCAAAATTCTTGATGCGGTCTGAATGAATTCTCGGGGATGACCAAAAAGAGGTGAAGGTGTACTTACGTCCTTGTCTAGTAGTGATGGCGCGCTGGCTTGAATTCAAAGATATCGCGGAGGTCGAGCAAGGTTCAATGAGACGCTGGGAATTACTAAAAGTATCTACAAACGAATGTCCAAAAAAGCGTGAAAGAGAGTGAACAAGCTCACTTTGAAGAACATATCATCCTTGTTCTGAAAACGGTTCGGGTGGAAGACTATATCGGTATAAAGCAGTTCACGAATTTCATCTTTAACTACCACCACTCTATCCTTTTATCACAATGTACCAAGTCCGTCCTGCACACCCAATCCAAACAAAAGCCATCTGGGATTACGAGGAATCAGTAACTCCCACAATGGCTTCGCAGCAATCTTATCCTTCAAACGTTCAGCTTCCTCGCAAGTTGCAACGTCCACAATACCTCGAGGTCCCAACTCAGAATATTGCTGCTATCGATCCTGAGCTCTCTCATGTCCCAGTCGACTACGTACGACGTGGTCTCAAGAACCAGGCAAACCAGTCAGTACCATACGTACTCAACTCAAAACTCAATCTAATTGATTATCACTCAGGATGTTTGCTGGTATCGCAGCCATTCAATTGCCTTCGACCATGCATCGCTCCCAGCTTCACCACACACAAACTCTAACAATCCCAATTCGGCCATCCGGCCCTTCCTCTTCATACCCTACACACATACTTGCTCTCTCTAGATCATCCACCTCCTCCGATTCACAACTCACTCTCGTAGCGACTCACGCCCTCATACTCGCATCAAACTGTGCTTCACTGCCCCGCCTGCCCCCATCACCCCAATCTTACGGCGCCACAGCCAGCCTCACACTGCCAGTACTGCCTCTCACTATACCTGCCCCGGCAGCATTCCCACCCCTGCACACATTCCTCTACACCCATTCTGCACCCCAACTCCTCTCCGCACTCATCCCAGCCATCCCGGCCTCTTTCCTGTCCACCCTAACATCCTCACAAGCACTCCGCGCTACACTGTCCTCCGGACCTGCCCTCCATACCCTATCCGCCCACCTCATGTCCTCGGCTCCCGGCATGGGCGCACTCACCAGCGTCGCCCAGAATATCGCCGCTGTATGGAGAAACGCGGTTGCATTGGGCGTGCATGATCCCGAACTCTGGCATTGTCTTGATTTGGCGTGGGAGGTCATTTTGGGTGCTATGAACCTTGGTGCCGGGGCGCGTTAATACTAGGATTGATTAATTCCTTGGACTTGGCACTGGTGGCTGTCCACGAACGAACGAACTCTTTTTCCCTTCATCACTGTATTCCTGGATCTCTCTCCGCATCTCAACTCATCGCACATCTATCATCATATATGCCCTTGTATCCTTGACTATTTCCCCTCTCCTCCTCTTCTTTCCTTTCCTTATACATCTCTATGGCCGCTGAGATACAAAGTAATTTACGATCGGAAGTTAATGTGTTTTGAGACTTTGTATCTACTATGTATCAGAATGATCAATATACCCTCGTATACTTATACTTTCAATCGTGCGGCGTTTCATTTTAGTTTCCTTTGATTATAGAATCACAGCTACGTGTTCATCTGGGGTGACACGGCCATCAATTATTTTATATTACAACTCATCTGGCTTTGAGTGATGCGGTTATGGGCGCTTCGCTGCCGTCTGACGCGTCGCAGATCGGAACCAGTCTTCCCTTCGCTACGGAACGTATCGGGCCGCCTTCATCGCGTCCACTTGAATATCAGTTGCCCCAACCAGCGGATATCACTAGGTGGATGCCGTCAAAGACACACGCCAATCATCAAGATCCTCGCCATACTATGGACTTGTTAGATTCCGACAGTTAATGCTACCCGGGCCACCAAGTCCAGGCCCGACTCCAGTGACATATCGAGTTGCGGTTACTTCGAATTCTCCGAGACTTCAACCAAACTTCGCGCGAAAGCATGGGGCCGTAGAACTATATTTATCTTAATTACCCGTTAAATTCGTTAAATTTCCGCTGATTTATGTAAACACGGTTTCTCGCAGATGCGGCCAGATCTCTGAAACACTCTCGACACCATGTATCCACTGCCGTGCTCCCCCCAGACACACCCAAATCTTAATTACAAACACCATCTGTATCCCTGGTGTTTCGTCGCCTGGTACCGGAGAGCACGACGCGGACACCTTGCGGCATCAGAAAACCGATCAGTCCTTTAGTAGGGTGGGTCACATTTATTGCGTCTGATAGGCTTTTGGCGTCATTTGATTGGATCATGACAACTTGCTTCTTCGCAGATTCGTTGGATTATATACATAATTCAGTTTCACTACCTACTAAGTCTATCGATATTTCAATTATCGTTCAGCCGTTTTACCTCTTTTCTCGACGTGGTCCCTGTTGAGAGCCGAAGAACCCGAGGACGGAAAGGCCGATAGAGGAGGATATGGGACTACGGCCGAAGAGTAAGGCAGCTCGAGGTGCGAGCGCCACCAAACGGAGATTCCAGACGACGTGTCAACGTCGGCTATCTTTTTTCATTCCTTTAGTATATGTTTTCATCAAAAGGCCAGCTGGCGCACTCACCATATAAAAGCAGCCATCCACCATCGAAACATCTCAGATTCGTAATCCGAATACTGAGATGTAAGTCTTCTAAAATGTAACGTTTGAGTACAAGTACTAACGTATACCGTAGCTTACCTGTCTAGGTAAAAACACTTGTCAATAAAGAGATTCGTAATCCGAATACTGAGATCTTACCTGTCTAGCCTCGCGTGAACGCCCTGCTATACTCTCAATAGTCCCCCCCCCAGATCTTTCGTCCTCGAGTTGCCTTATTGTTGGGCGTACCAACTACCCCTGACTCTGCAAGAAGTTGCATGGTCTCGTTGGACCAAATGCAATTTGAATTACCCAATGTAATTTTGTTTAACCACATCACAGAACGACTCGGGACGCGTCACTGCAATTCTAAAATTTTGGAATCGAGCAGCCCTTTTTCACGTGTGGCCGCATATATATGGGGCCATTCGCCAACCTGATTGCCTCCTCAGGCGTATTACGTCGCCCTCAGCCTCTCACAACCGTTGCTGTTCTTGTTACAGCCTTTCGTTTATGCGTCCGTACGCAGCAGAAGCGTCTGGGGATTGACGATGCATGGGCAGTCATCGCCGTGATATTCGACTTTACATTATTACTCGCCGACTGCTTGTATCTGCAAGACTATGGCGAGCGTCTCCGCAGTGTGCATGTTGCATACATTCTACTGAAGAGACGCAGAAAAATACCCTCAAAGCACAAGGATAGCATTATATTACATGTGCGTTTTCTTCTTTTCTTATACTTGAGAGACGTTACCAATACCACATCCATCAGAATTTCCCAATCCTTTTACGGAGTTGTATGGTAAGACACTAGCGCTGAGGTTCTAGTGGCCCGGCAACGTGATGGGACTGACATGTATGCATAGGTCATCGAAGTTATCCATGTTGTTTACTATTGTGCGACTCACAATCCCGGGAAGATTTAGAGGATTTCTCCTGTGCACTGTCGCTTTCTTCGGCATTATATGGGCACTACTTTTTTTACAACTGTGGTGGATTTGTGAAACTGAGCCTGGCTGGAAAACACAAACACTTCCGCAGTGCGATCTCGGCCGACGTATTGCAATAACGCAGATGACCAGTGGGGATTCATTGTTCATAAAATATACCGGTTACTTATGTATCTCAGCCGACGTTCTAGCCGATGTTGTTCTCATCATTGCTCCATTTTCCCTCATTTACAAAGTCAGATTGTCAAGGTCGCAAAAGTCCGGATACTAGCTGTCTTCTCTACGTCAGCAGTCACCGCAATCGTCAGTCTCACCCATGCATATTACATGCTCCCTGGTGAAGGGCTCAGGGAGGTTATGGCTGGTATAGTTGAGGTTCGGTGCCATCAGTGTTTAGACCTCGAGCGCTGCTGACCACAATTTAGTGTTCCATGTCTCTCATCGTCGTGAACTTGAGCGTCGTCGTCGCGTTCATCTTCCGTTTAAGTTCAGACGATGATTTACCATCCACTCCGACACCCATCGTAACTTTTGGCGGACAACGTAGGACACGGCGCATGACTGTAGCTGTTGAAAGTACCACGATCTTACTACAGGATTTCCCTGAGTCTCGTCACCATACTATGAAGAGAAGTGACGACGACGATGTAACTCTACACAACAGGGAGCGAAAGCAGGAGAAAGAATGGTGCTAGAGCACAAAGAAGTTAATCCGTCCTCGATTCCCACCTTTGTGGGGAAGGGTCTATCTAAATCGTGTTGTATCGATCAATCACACTCCTTTTCTTTCTAATACGAAAATCTGGACGGGGCCGCATTGGTGATATGCACCATCTGTTTTTATAATGTGTGCCAATTAATCGATTCGTTGCATGTAGCGAGTCCACCGTCTTGACGGCTATCAGTGCCATTTTTGCCGTTCACCATCGTCCTCCCGCCCTAGTTGTATCAACTTCCGCTCTAAACATTCCATGTCTCTAGGGGGTGGATTAGTGAGAACAAGGTCAGTAGATGCAATATTAATTGTAAGCTACAACCCCGGCTTTTCAGCATCAAAAAGCCTACCAGTGATTCTCGCCTGGTAGCTTCTAACGACCGTCTAACATCAGTCGTTGCAAAGCTACAGCCTGCGTGTCAGAGTGATGGCACTCGGGTCTACATTATCTCGCGAGGTAGCTAGCATAATCACAAAGGCAAACGGCGCAGTTTGGAATGTACTGACTATGAAACGCGCGTATCGGAGGAAGCCCGAAGTTAGTACTGTGTGTGTGTTCGAACTTGAAGTGGTCGAGATCGTAACGACATAAACCTAATAATCTCTGTAATTTAGACGATGATGATTACAGTTGTAAATGAACATATTTTGTAAACGGGTCGAAAGGCTCTTTGCAGAAAAATCAATTCTACAAGCGGGCCTGGCCATGTGTCAGTTGACATTCGATGAGTTTGTCTCGTGCAAAAAGGAGCGGTGGTGTGCTGCTTTGAGACTCGTGTACCCTGAGTACTTCTCATCAATATCCATATTATTAACCCCCTGATTTTCCTCTAGCAGCCTAGCACAGGCTCTCTCTCACTGCGTGTGGATCGGTGTCTGTCCTGCCAATCAGCCACGATGGACAATACACGTGCAGCATATTACCCCGGATATCCTCTCCCTCTTCCGAAGGTACACGGAGTCCCCGTCGCGCGTCAGTCGGCCCTCGGGTCATCTATTGTCACAACGAAAATGTGACGCGTGACAGCTGAACGTCCGAATTGCTCAACTTAAAAAATAGTAGCGAACAAGTTTCTGCTACTTCATCTGGCCGGCTATCTTCGGTGTACCTTCCTTCGCGCCCAGAAGCTAGAAGGATCTTAAATGACTCGGTCACTGATCGGCCTGCGCACCACACCACACGGGGGACGTTCTCTCTTTCCTATCCAGCCCATTGCTGAGGGGACCAGCATCTTTACATGTGAAGCTCCTTTTGCACATGTGATTTATAAAGATTATCGCAGGGAGGTCTGTGCTCAGTGTTTCGCGTATGCAGCAAGTACTTTTCGAAGTATTGGTGATCCACGGACTTGGAGTATCAGAAGTTGTAGGGTAACTGCAGAGACTGTTTGGTTCTGTACAGATGAATGCAAGGTCACATGGGAAAGTGGGGTGATAGGTCCCTTGATAGCAGATATCAATGCTCTTCTTGGCAAAGCAAAGATAGCCACTCGGAGGAATTCAGCCAGGGACGGCTACGATCCGATATTGCCAAATGGTCCTCCTGCGCAAATCACGCAAGATTACATCGACAAAGCCTGGGGGGATGTCGAGGAATTGGTTTCCTCTCGTGCTCGTCTTTCTTCGTACTGCTCAACGATGAATTTAGAAGATATGGAACTCGAAATATCGCGCTCAGTTGCGTCGGCCATCATCCAGCGATATGTATTTGATCACCGTCTTGCCAGTCTCACAACTTCTTCGATAATATCCACCTTAGATCCATGGACAGAAGTTCTTGATCTCCAGAGCAGCGAGCTCTCGAACGTTAGTCTACGGCCTTATATTCTTGCGGCGCATCTCCGTGTATACGCTTTTTTGTGTCATTCACTTCCAAAGCATCTCAGATTGTACGTTCCTACGGCTCGACATATCCTTGCGCGCGACACCGGAAATGCCTTCGGGATTTGGGATGGAGATCACAGAGATGAAATGCTCGGATGGGGCCTTTGGGTAGGCGCGAGTTATTTTAATCACAGTAAGAACTCACTTCTTCGTAAGCCCTCTTCTTACTCAACGCGTCGGCTCATGAAGGTTGCTGCCCAAATGTCAAAAAGACACGCGTCGGACGCACTATCCACTTCACTACCTCTCGTTCAGTCGAAATCGGCGAGGAGCTCTGCATTAGCTATATCGATACCAGTCAAGCCATTGCGCAGCGCAGACAGGATCTAGAAAACAGTTGGTTTTTCAAATGCGGGTGCCAGCGTTGCCAATCAGAAGAACCTAATGGGGCATCTCCGCGTTGATGTTGGTGATTGTGACCGTACATACTTGTAACAATGTGTGGGGGTTGAGCGGATTTCATGACGTTGAGCAGATTCAACGATCAATCATACTGATCGTTGAATCTGCTCAACGTCACGGAATCTATGATTAGCCAAGAGTTCATGCAACTAGCGGCACGCTCGCCACGAAAACCTGCAGTGCGCTTGTATCTATATATATAGAGGACACTGTTTCAAAATTTCATGGGTGATCGTACGCATCTGACTCTCTTGCGCACGCTGAGCGTGGGGTTGGTTGATATGATCCGTTCAACATATGATGCATACATAAAACCGATATACAGTACATTTGCGTACCTTTGCCGAAATGTACCCTAGCTAGGATGCTTTTGGACTTTCCCACTGCGCCATTCTCCCAAGTCCCAACATTCTTCCGACACAACTCTAACTCTTTATGTAAGTTTTTGTGGGACATAGATTTCACGATACATGCATATTGTTTACAACCATCTAACTACGCTTAATCTTGAACAACATAACCTTCCTTCAAATTTTGCCTGCTCTCCTACTCTGTTCTTCACCGTTAGCCTACTCAGCCACTGGGGTCCAGTTCGTGTGTGCTAAAATCCTAAGCAGCATTTATGCCCTCCTCATTTACGCTTCTCGACCCTCCGGCGGTTCGTGACATCTTGAAACTGCGCCTGTGGGCGCCATTGAAGCTTGAAGTGCCATGAGGGGCGCGTCGAAGTCCCACCCTTCAAACCCCGGACTTACTCGACACGATATCATACCTGCAACCAATCCCAGAGTCACTCCAAATACTCCAGTTCCTGAGCCGCCCCCTCGTTCTTCGAAAAGAGTTGAGAGGGATATCAAGAAACTGGGATTCAAACTGATGGAAGAAGGACGACTATTCTCGGGTCACGGTCCTTGTAGACGAGGCAGACGTCCTCTTCGGTGCGTGTTTCACTCAAGCCATGCATATGTTTACTGACATTGTACAGATCCGGACTTTCAAGAATCCACTCGCATGCTTCTTGGTGATATTACTGCAGCCCGTGGTTCACCTGTCCCAGTAATCCCTTCCTCGGCTCTATCCTCGACTCTGGATTTGGATGCAACAACTACAACAATCTCCTACCCGTTCAACTTCCTTCCCACCAGTGCAACAATTCCCAGGTCCCTTGCTACCTATCTTTCAAACTATCATGCATCCCTTACCCGCATTGCATCCCCACCGCTGCATCACCTCCCTCCGACCCTTCGCACTGAACACACCTCATAGACACGCGGGAACAAAAATGCAGACATCGAGCGCCGCATCCGTCGCGTATGGGCCAAAGATGCCCTCGTGCACTCCAAGACCGCAACCGGTTTCGGCCCCATCAAACTCTCCAAGCTCCTCGTCTTCTGCAACAAATCCAGCAAAGTCGAGCAACTGGCTGCATTCCTCGACGGCTGCGGGATCAAACGCGTCGCGCTCACCGGTGGTGTGGAAATGCAGAAACGAGGGTCGAATCATCATCTCGACGGGTCCTTGGGGCCTGTCCAGACGGGTCCGGGTGTGTGTCATCCGGCTCAGACACCTCATGTGCTTGTCACGACCTCGCTTCTTTCCCGTGGGCTATATTTTTCGCCTATGATCAAGCATGTGTTCATTGTTGACGAGCCGAGGAATTTGATTGATTTTTTGCATCGTGCTGGTTGTGCTGGACGTGCGGGCCAGGTGGGAAAGGTGGTGGTGTTTGGGAGGGCGAAAGGGAGTGGTAGTGGGCGGATGGAGGAGGTTAAAGAGAAAGTCAAGGCTTGCTGGATAGATGGTGGTGGTGGGTCGTTTAAGATTCGGACGTTATATCAACTGATCGTATGTGTATTATTCATAGGCGTCTGATAATCCCTACTCATGAATTTTGCATACTGTGCCTTTACTTGTGGCAACCGTCGCACATGACATAGAGCCAATACTTGGCGTTGCTAAATCGACCTCTAGTTACAGTGAAACTCCTGATAACATTTGTGATAAAACTATGCTTAATCGACAACGCGACTTCCCTTGACATAAATCTCACCTCCTCTCTCACTCTGTTCTTAACCATTAACCACTCTTACAGGTCCAGTTCGTGTGTGCAAGCTTTAAACAGCATTCATGCTCTCCTCAAAGTTTCCTTACACTCCTACGACCCTCCGGACGTCCGCCAAACCGCGCCCATGGGTGCCATTGAAGTATAAGGGGCGCGTCAAAGTCGCACCCCTACCCTTCAGGCCCTGGACTGATAACTTACTTGACACAATATCATACCTGCCGCCAATTCCAGAGGAACTCCAATTACTTCAGTTCCCGAGCCACGTCTTCGCTTTTCTAAAAGAACCGAGAGAAATATCAAGAAACTGGGACTCAAACTCATGGAACAAGAGGCCCGGCAAGGGGAGGACAGCTATTCCAGAGTCACGGACGACAGGCTACTGTGGAATTGTGTCCACCAATATGTGAAAAAGGATGGGAGGCCAAAGTCAGAATGAAGGGGACAACCTCCTTTCTTGTGCACACAGCGGGCTTTCCGAAAGAAGTGAGCCTGTGATGCATGTTCACGGTCCGCATGCTAAGAATCTGACAACACATTATGCATATCTAGATTTGGGAGACCACCTACTGGCTGTCATAGGGTCATGGGAGTCCGTGCATCATGGGGACTCTGCTCTGCTAAACAGACTGGATCTCAGTGGTAGTTTGTACGAGAACGCCTCTCAAACCCGCTTGCTTGAAGTCAATATTATGGATTGGACAGTGCAAGAGATATTGCACGCACTCTCATCGATGACATCAATGATGGAGCAAGTCTCCAAGGAGCGTGTTTGCCGCAGACCGGCAAATCCAATCAGCTCGGGAAATAAAAGTCATTCGGAGTAATTACTAGGTACCGTTGGTTGTACAGTGACATCGTGTATGGGTCATGCACGACCCTGCTAGAGAGTCGTGACCTGGGCTGCCGGGCAGCATGGTAGGCTAATAATCGTTTTATATAAGCGCTGGTTGTAAACTTGTAATAATAGACTGGGCCCTTTTTGGACTTGCGTAGCTATAGGCCCAGAGCAGTTGAGCTGATCAAGCTCTACTCTACTCCTCCCTGACGACTACTGAATTCATGACGCCTACGGAAAACGGCAGTTCTTCCTCATGTATCAAAGGAAAAGGAAAGGCCAAGCATCCTGAACCTTCAGAGCGAACACCTCTACTACTACATCACAGTGATGCTGCTCCGAGTCCCAGTCAACCACGTGTTGTACACGATGAAGACGTCGACCTCGAAAGTAGCTCGGACGCTCGGCGAAGGCTTTTGTCCAAGCTTACATTTGTTTTCCTGATATCTCTGTCTTCCTGCATCTTAATATTTTTGCTGCTTGCTCTGTTGGCATACTCTTATGCCGCCAGGTTGTCGGACGTGTCCCCAGAAGACATCTTAGAGAATGCGCTGGTGATACAAGGGCCGTATCGGGTGAGCGTACTCAATGTTACAGCAGACGGCGGGACATGGATACAAGTACGAGCAAGAGCTGGGATTAATGCGGGATCAATCATGGGAGTCGATACGGATGGTGACGAAGGAACATTCTACGACATGTGGAAGTCGTTTGGTCGATGGGGCGTCAATATTCTAGATAGAGTCACAGTGGATGTGTCCACCACTCAAATCTTTTCTCAGCGACAGGCGCTTTTAGCCACGCTCGATTCCCCACCATTTGAACTTCCTCTCACCGCCAATCCCCCATATGACGATTCGTGGTTATCCCCGTTGTCTTTGACTCTTTTTGTCGTCCCCACGCAGAACGCGTCCGATATAAACCAGTTCGTGCACGACTCCTGGCATTTGGGTGCTGCGTCTGTACATGCCTCTATTCCTAGCGTGATCATCTCTGGGGGCTCCACGGACAAAGGCGGTTGGAGGCAAATTCTAAAGCTCCAGAGATCAAGTATACAAACTCAGTTATCTATGAAACGTGAGTCTTTATTATCTGTTAACTTGTTTAGAGTGCTACAGCAATACTGGCAGTTCCGCCAATCCCTGGCTTGCCTACCCCGGGCAAGGACGTACCCCTACCATCCATTTCGCAGCTGATCACGTTGCAGTCTTTCGGCGTGGAGTCTGAAGCTAAAGACGTAACTGTACATGCCCTTGCAACTGTCGTCAATCCCGTGCCACCTATAATAAACCTAACTGCACCCTCACTTCCGTTCATAATTTCGCTCCCCAGTGAAAATCATTCATTAGTACCGATGGTATCGGTCCACACCGACCCGTTCATGCTAACCCACCCCAACATCACGCTTACTATCTCTGGAAGCGTCCTACCCCTCCCCCCTCATCATTCCGCACCCATTTCTGCTTTCATTAGTAGATTCCTCTCCCTCGAACCTAACCCCGTATCTGTCGCATGTCCACTATTCCCATCTTTTGCGCTGGACATGGAATTTCCGGCCCCCAGTTCCAAACCACAAATACTGCGCAATGTGACAATTCACGATATGAAGATCAAACCCAACTCTGCTAGCACCGGTTTTCTTGCGAGTGGTTCGGTGTTCGCTCGCATAGTACTTCCTAAAGGAATGGACCTTACGCTAGATGTTACCCGCGTATTTCCTGATGTTCTGGTCTTCGACGGGGAAGCACACGAATTGCCTACACTTCTTTTACCCCAACAGAAAGACAAAGAAGAATTACCGGATCCACTTCCAGAACGCGCATTTGGTCATATACGACCTGAAGATTGGTTGGAAGCGACAAGCGTTCAAGTCGACGCCGAAGGAGAAGGCTCCATATTTGCAGTCACCGCAGATATGGTCGATGTCCCGTTAGAGGTGCTTCCTGGTAGGCAGAAACAATTCAGTAATTTCATTAGCAAGGTATGTGTAGTACTCTTTTTTGCGCAACCTCATTCATGCAGGATTGGTTGCAGGTTGTATTTGGTACCCATGGTGCACTAGCTGGCTTACAGGGAACTACTGATGTTGGGGTGCACATCCTCGGATTACCGTTTCGTGATCACGATGACACAGCCACAGGAATGGACCTTTTGGGTCTACCCTTCCGAGGGAGCGTACGCATTGGAATGAAAGATCTGCTGGTATGACGCTCGCTTGATCTTTTCTCTGAAGGCCTACATGTAATTTATTTGCCTGTATCATCATTCATCGAACCCATCCACGACCACTAAGCCCATTTCAATATTCATTGTTGACATAGCTTTTAGTTCACTACGTTACACTGAATCTAGTTTTTATAGCCTAATGATACCACTGGGCACATATTGAACTTTAGGGATGGTGCCACCTATATATTTGTGCTTGAAGTTACACAGAACAGTCTAGTGATTGATAGTTCATATGTTCTGCTATATACGATTGCAGTGTTCTAGGACTTCCACTGCCTGTACCGTAATGTGTTGTCGGTAGACGTATACTATTGGCATGGACCCACTTTTTCGTAGTGGTTTGGATGGGATTCTCGCGTTAATGGTCTCCTGCACTAGACCTGTCTTGCATTTGTTAACCTGTACATCAATATTTTGGAGTAACCTCCATCGCCCAGAAAGAGACAAAACTTATCATCATACAAGCTGTAGCTTTAGTTATAATGCTTGATTTTCACCCCGTGGATGACCTCTTCTTCTATGCCATCTTCTTTTCCATTCTTCAGTTTCGACTGACCATAAGCCATCGTCCTCGCTTTCCTCCAATCTTCCATCGTCGGTGCCTCACTATCTTCGCAGCGTCCCTGAATTCCCACTCTCTGCAAGACCGGGCTTTCAACCATTGGCACCAACTTAATATCGTCGTTAGGTATGGCAAAGTAGAATACCCCGAGACGAGTGTAGTTCCGCTGGTCCACCGCGGGCTGGACAACGCGATGGATCGTGCCTTTGTAGTACCCGCCAGTAAGGAATTCCATTGCATCGCCTACGTTAACCACCTATAGACTGCTCATCATGTCATGGATTGGGACATAGAACTTGATTACCCACAAGCGCATTTTCCATGTGACGGATCCAACGCCACTTGCCTTCACGGGTCTGGATTTGCAGTGCGGCGACAGGCTGACTCCATAAAATCGTAATGCTTCCGAAATCTTGTGGCAACACTGTGAGTACAGTATCTTCGCGATAAGATTACTGACCTGTATGGCCCTTCAGCCAAACGTTCTTTGTTTTGGCTTCTTCTTCCTCTGTTCGTGGGTAGCTACGCCACATAAGCCTGCGAAGCGTAGAAATACAAGGAAGTACTTGCTACTTGATGAACCTAACTGATCGACAGGTTAGTAACGACACAAACTGTTTAAAATGTATATGTTCACCAGCTGACTCGTCGACGGCGTCAAGGACATGTTTGTTCAACAATGTATCTTCTGGTAGCTCAAGGCTGCAGGCAATAAGCCTGAGAGAAAAAAATCAGCGAGTCTTCCTGAGCACACTAGTATATATCTTTACCTCAGGATAGGTGTCAACACGTTGAAATAGTTGTGTTTGCTAAACTCCTGTATTTCTGGGAGGAGAGGGACGAGGGCTTCTGGGTGCTTTCGCTTGGTCACATCGCGATTGACTAGAAAATGTGAGGCGAGTCTATAAAAATCAATGCGCGCTGCTCACTACAATATTGTTCAAGCTGGTCGCGCACTTGACCATCGTTATCCTATTGTTTGACAAAATCAAATATTCCTCTGTTGTGCGATACACAACTGCTACGTACCGCATACTGCAATAATGTATATCCTTGGAGCATTCCATTTTGCTTTCTTGTCGAAGCATAAAGTTGCTTCTCGCCGTCAGTGACGGCCGAGAAGGGCACGTCTGCAATGTCAAACATGCGAGCTGTCTGAGACGAGATGTTATTAACAATCTATGTGACATGAGAAAATTATCTTGCTTGAGTTTGCGAATATCCATGGTTCACGACATAGAAGAACCCGAATTTCAGGAGAGCCTCCCTTAATTCAATCGCGAGCGCGGCGAGACCCTCTTCGGAGCTGGCTTTCGAAATGTCGATGATCGCAAGGTCGGCATACTCCACTGTCGATGCGTACATTCAAGTCAGTGTTCTGCATTAAGCACAATACCTTGCACAGACAATTTTCCTTCGTAGGAGGTGCGGCAACGTGGTGCGGCACGTAGGGCAAGGTAATGCTGGACATTGCAATCAAGAACGCCGAGGGGTGACAGATCTAACAAGATTAACCATGCAACCTGCCCTTATATAATTAAGCCTTGGAGCCTTGTTTCAAGTTAGCCTGATCTATAAAAAGATTGCATGGTCACGCACTAGGCTACTAACAAAAAAAGTAGTCGCCGCACGGTGACAATAGGGGATATGGCTCCATTGCCAGTGCATCAGCGACATACCACCCGAAACATTCCAAGGAGTCTTGACAGGTAGGCGTTCTGAAAACCTGCCTTAAAATATGATTTGGACCTCTACATAGGACGGGAGTGCTAGGGCCAAAGTTGAAGACGCAGGACGTCCAAGGTCATGAAGAACTTGACATTCGTGAGCTGTGGCACTGTGGAACCCTTCTTCCGAGTCGGAAGACAGCCTGATACCATTTGGAATAGCCTAAATCCGGTCTTCAACATGATTATCGATGTAAGGCCATCAGAAACCCGATCTGAGTCCTTTAGGGTGCGTTACATTGATTGTGCGACCTTTGCATCGTAATATGACGAAAATCAAGGACATGCTCTGTATAATAAATATTTAGATTTCTCACCAGGGTTCTTCTGTATCCTTCTGCCGACTCGGAGTTGGTGAGTAACGAATCACCATGCTACGTATAGCGTCCATCTTGACTCAGCCTATATGTAATATTCAGGTAGATAGATCATGCCCAGTCACGCGTAGCCACGTCGAATCTCATCAACTGCCAGTGGGATCGTACGTATCACTTGATGGATATGATACCATAGGAACCTTTTCCTGGGAGAAAATCGGAATCAAAAAAAATCGCGCGTGGGCTGGGACGTACCAACAGAGCCCAACGGTAGCAGAGTGTTACAAATTACGCCCACAACCATAACCTCCTTTAATCGGGTCTACGAGGCAGCGGTAATAGGCTGAGTCTAGAACAGGATGTAGTAAAGTAGCACTGCCGAGCGCTGATGTAAATGTGTGTGCGTGAACAAGGCGCAACCTTGGCCCGGGCCCCGCCTCTCACTCATCTATCCCCGACACCCACTTGAGCGGGTAAAGGGTTCTAAATGTCATGCCGTTGCGCTGGCCGGTGATCAAACCGATGTGGTCGTATGACCCTCCGAACTCCTACACAACATCGGAGCTGGAATGTTTCTCTGATAACCGTATCAGAATGACGTCTGTTTCTGATATTCTCTGGTTACTCTTCGAGTCAAGTCTTCAACACGGCGGACTGACCCTTGATGGTTCATTCCACTTCTGTTTCATGCTTTCACTGTCGATGGCATGGAGGGACCGCAACGCACTGCACTTTTTTTCTGATGGCTTGATGTTACTCTTCGAAGGGACGTCTTCAACATGGCCGACTACTACTCTGACACCAAATCCCTTTTCGGTTCGGAAACGGCCGAAAAGGGTCCCTAATTAATGGTGAGTGCTTTAGACTGGAGGCCAGGAAACTTGGGGGTCTGAAGCTTCCTACTTCCCCACTAGCCCTCCCCCAACCTGTCAGTGGGTCATGGTTGCTGGATGCAGCTGGCCGGTCATCGAATGCGGTTGCAGTCGTGTGACAGAACCTGTACTCCCACTGGGTATATAGGCTCAGTGGTGTATCCTAAACATAACGGGAAGGTCGGGTGACTGCAGCAGGTGCTAAGAACGCGATCTGCCTCGCGACACTTTGCTGGACGGTCTGGCTTGGGCTTCGCTTATTCAAGCCAGTCGCTATCGTTATCGCTCGCGCGCCGCACGTTCCATAGAAAAGTAGAATATTTGTTCCTTGAACATGTATTGCCTCTATTTACATAAGAAAGATACATCTTCATGCACGACACACGCTCAAGGTTTAGCAGTGGCCCCTTCAGCAAGCTTCTTCTGGAGCTTGACCTGAACGAAAAATTAGCTCCAGTACATGTATTCATAACCACCACTTACATTCACCGCATCCATGTACTTGTCAGTGACGACCCAATGTTCTCTCTTCATGTTCTTGCCGTGGATAGCAAGAGCAAGATCCTTGGTCATGATTCCATCCTCGTCAATCGTTTCCACACATGCAGCCTCAAGATCCAAGCAAAACTTCCTGAGCTCTTCATTGTCATCCAGCTTAGCACGGTGTAGAAGTCCACGGGTCCATGCAAAGATCGACGCCACTGGATTGGTCGACGTCTCATTCCCCTTCTGGAACTCACGGTAGTGTCGGGTGACGGTACCGTGGGCAGCCTCACTCTCAACAACCTGGCCATCAGGAGTGATCAGCTCTGAGGTCATCATGCCCAAGGAACCGAAGCCCTGAGCGAGGATGTCACTCTGTACGTCACCATCGTAGTTCTTGCATGCCCATACGAAACCACCGGAGGACTTGATCGCTTGTGCAACCATATCGTCGATAAGGCGGTGCTCGTAGTATATACCGACCTTCTCGAAAGCGTCCTTGTACTGCGATTCATAAATCTCTTGGAAGATGTCCTTGAAGCGGCCATCATACTTCTTCAAGATGGTGTTTTTTGTTGACATGAACTAAACACAGTAATGTTAATATTGTGTGTGCGGGTCGGGTAAATTCGGACACACCAAGGGCATCTTCTTGAGGAGAGCCATCTTGAATGATGAATGTGCAAACCCGGTTATTGACTAAGAACGGGTATAGTCAATGGTCGCATCAGGGCAAGAACTGTTGGATTTACTTCATCAGTGTTGTACATGCTCATGGCGACACCCTTTCCCTTGAAGTCATACACGTCCATGACAGTCTTGGCGCCTCCATCAGCAGGGGCGTATACAAGCTGGAGCTTCCCTGGTCCCGGTGCGACGAAGTCCGTGGAACGGTACTAAACCCACATGAACACGTACACCATTTACGTTCAGAAATCTCATACCTGGTCACCGACTACATCATTGTCAGGCTTAGCAATCACGAGATAACGAACAGAATAACGAACATGCATGACGGCCAATCACGATTGGCTTCACCCATCCTGGAATCGGCTTGGGAATCCGATCCAATATGATGGGCTCACGGAACACAGTTCCGCCAAGGATGTTACGGATCTATGCCGTCTGTTGAGAAGTTGACGATGATTGCTTGTCAGATACAACACTCACCGTGCCGTTCGGGCTCCTCCACATCTCCTTGAGCTTGAACTCCTCCACACGAGCCTCATCGGGCGTGATTGTCGCACACTTGATGCCGACCTTGTGCTCGAGAATGGCATTGGCGGCTTCCACGGTTACTTTGTCGTTGGTCTTTCACCACATGAATATGCAAATTAAAGTGGATTGATGGAATGGGAGCGTACCTGGTCACGGTACTCGAGGCCAAGGTCGTAGTACTTGATGTCCAGTTGTAAATAAGGAAGGATTAGCTTGAAGTAGCAATCACATTTGAGTTAAAGTGTAACAGAACATTTCAAACAACACGCACCTCCTCCCGGATCTTTTTCCAAATAATCCTCGTCATCTCATCTCCATCAAGCTCCACGACGGGTTTCGCTACCACAATCTTCTTCCCATATTCTGTTAGAACCGGATCAGCGCATGGTTTTGATAGAAGAGCGTTGCAGAAACAGCACGTCTACTGCAAAGGCATAGCTCGAGGGCTCAAGCCACCCTATACCAGATGCATGCAAATTACTCACGTAAGCTCATCGAATTCGCAAAGCCTCGTGCCAGCGGTCTGCTCTGCGGACCCAGCGAGTGTCTAATAGCAGTAAAGAGCGTCGCTCCTTGCACTGGCATGGTTAGTTAGCAAAACGAAGAAAAACGCTGGTATGTGGCAGAATCAAGACAGATGCTAATTATTGATCGCCTTTTGTAAGCGTGGGCTTGGAAGGTACGAATGAAGCACACGGCGTGCGCGTGGGAGGTCGTGAGCACACTAACAACGAGCCAGCGGCTGCTGGGGAAACCTTACCTTGACTTAGAGTAGAAGTTCAAGCAAATGTCCTTGCTTGAGCTGGCCCGGCTGGGTATGGCATATGGAATGACGGCGCCCCGTCACGGCTGATTTAGGAGCATATGCCAGCGCATGCTCCGAGTGCTGCCAGACGATAATCAGCTGCTCTTGGACGACGCAGCAGAGGAATTTGCAGGTATGGTATACTTAAGGACGGCCGAAGACCGTGTTAGGTACTTATATACTGAACCTGCCGTAGGACTTAATCGCTTGCAACAGAAGTGGTGCGATATCTTAGGAAATCTTCCCAAGTACATCATATCATAAATCCATTCAAAATCGTCTTGACTACAGTATCCGACTCCATTCACGAGTTTCCCGGGATAAGCTCCACGATGCGCTCGACGAGACTCCTCATCACCTCTGCCTTTTGTCTCCCGATCTCCAGGACTTCTTCGTGCGATGCAGTCCCCACAGGAGGAAGCTCGATGCGCTGACCAGAAAGCTACAGAGATCACCATCAACGGAGCGATTAGTCTCGCAGTGCTTATTCTACATGGTTACGTACCTCAGCTTCAACCTCTGCCTTGATACTTCTGTAGGTATCAGGTATGACCACCATGTTAGTAGCGAGGCTCAGCACCATGACCTCGAGCTTCTCTTCTCGCGCAGCCACTACTTCGGGTATGGTGCTCATACCAACTACGTGCGCACCTGCATTGCGCAGGAAACGGCCTTCAGCGGGGGTTTCATATGCGGGACCTGCCACCCAGGCATACGTCCCTTCAGCTAATGCAGAGGAGTCGAAATTAAGATAGTGGGAGGCAAGGAAGGCAAGGCGTCGTAGACGAGGGGAGTATGCGTCACCCAGAGGAATAAATCGGGCATATTCCGGGGATACGAGGGGTCCGAACGAGGGGTTCATCCCAGTTAGGTTTGGGAGGGCGAAGTGATCACGGATCACGACGACTGCGACATTGTTCAGCCTTGGGCTTGATATGGATGAAAGATCATACTTGTTCCAACGGGTATCTCTGGTGTCAATGACCCAGCAGCATTTGTTACTGTATTGGATCAGACATATAAGTTGTCTGTGAGTCAAAAGTGTGCTTACTGATGACATCTTTGACGCCTAATCTCTTCATAAGTCTGATACCATATGTCACGACTATTGGCTTGTGGCCCTCATACGGATGGAACTGTCATCGTTTCTGTTTCAGTAAACTCGCTGGCGAAGTGGTGTTCCACTTCACTCACTCGCCCGAGCATGGCGACGACAGGTACATTATCCTTGCCCATCAGTCCGAATGCGAGCATACTTTTTTGGCCAACAACTTAGTAGATGGTCTTTCTGAGATCAGTGATATTTGACCGTCCTTATCGGCGCATACCTGTGCTCTCTCCGAAACCCTGGAGTTGTGAGTACGGAAGTTGTACCACATCCTTCAAGCTCGAGACAAGGGTGCTGAGACCAGATCCACACACGATTCCGATGCGTGGCTTCAACAAGCGAGGATCGGTAACCAAACGCGAGATGGTTTCGAGAGTTTGCGCGAATGGAAGTACTGGGGTGGCTGATGAAGACATGTCAGGGTCAGAAAGAGCAGATCTGTCGGAAACTGTTTTACATAGAACGTGACTCGTATTATGATTTGATCTCCTGCCACTGATAAGCGTCCGGAGCTTCATGCAGCCATTATTGCTATTGCATTGAGATAAAGACGAACGAACTCATCGAACTGGCCAAGCTTGCCGATCATTGGCTGCGGCCGAACAACGACACGGATAATCGTTACAGTGATGGCATGTCAACAAGCCTGGGCCTGAGATGCCAAGCATGCTCCAAAGAAGCATGGTTTCAATTGGTCTGCTACGCACTTCATGCTCTACGCCTAACCATGAACAAGCTCAGAAAGCCCAAGCCACCCGCCACGATATACAGCCCACCGTCAAGTATCCAAACAGCTCGATCTGACATTCATAATAACAACCAACATTTGGTCTCTGAATCTGTTCAAAGTAAACCTCCAGTATCGAGAACGATGCAGATCGCGAGTGCCTCACTTGCTGTGGAAAGAATCTCTACCGCTAAGAACACGCTGGAATATCCTAAGACGACATGGTACTCTGCACCTGCTGCTGCCAAGCCTCGCACATCCGTCGAGCAGTACTGGGCTGCGCGTGCACTAGGTGGCTGAAACGGTGCTGACAACACGTGTTCAGTATCAGAAGGAAATGACAGACGTGAGGCTAGGGAAGGAAGAGAAGCAGACGGTGAGTATTTCCATTGTCTAAAAAATGTTCTCGGTGATTAATCGCGACATAGAACCAGCTTGCGGCTCTCATGCGGGCGAGCGAAGAACGGCAGAGCAGGCTCGAAAAGTTCGTCGTGCGTTACATTGACTTGCTTGTGTTCTCATTCGCAAGCTCATTTTATTCATTCAGGTAGCCCTTTTAGCATGTTTTACACTTCTCTTCCTTGCGTTAATTTATATACTGCTGCGTGATTCCCCGAAATCGAAGGGTGCCTCGCACTTTACGATACCGATCCTCTCCCCGTTTACTTCAGTGGTGAGCTTCGTTAATTGCCGTTGCGAAGTTGGCATCATTTCAAACGGAACTATTACCAGGTTCGAACATGAAACAGGCATCATCAGTGCGAGATCCGTGTCATTCTTCATTCTCGTCGTAGGCATCTTATCATATGCCTATCTTCCGACATTGGTTGTCAAAAAAAAGATAGCCCCCATGGTACAAGATTTAGGTTGTAATTCAAGACGTGGCTGACGTAGCCATGAGAACGGTAACTTCGCTTCCCAGCGCAAAGTAGGGCTAGGCTATGGGAGGGGCTATTTTTTGCAAAGGGCACGTGTATGCGATACTGGCGGTTTGCATGCCCATTCCTCGTGCGCATCGAGTCCAAGTCGACTTCAAGACTGTGAGCACGCATAGGAATTCAAGTCGACTTTAACAGAGCACGAATAACTAGTACTATAGCTAGTAGTACTTACTTAATGGAGGATGACTGAAAAATTAAATGATGAACCGAGCCACTTGGTTTGGATCGTGGAGTTATGGGCCGTGGGAAACAGAGTGTCGTTCACAGGATGGGTGCAACTTTGTACCAAAACGTTACACCTTTGCTCATTCTTCTTTACGCACCACCACTCCTTTTCTCTGTCCTGACCACGGCACTCTCAGTCCTGCTGGCCTGCTAACACGGGACACAGAGGTCAAGATGTATCCTCAGTCTGCCTCGCCGACAGCAGATCACGCAGATCCTTTCACTTCTTCAGCGGGCGGTCCTCGCAGATACGTTTACAGCGACAACGACTCTGACAATGTTGACCCTTACGGTCGTAGAGACACTTATGCTTCAGACAGCAGCAACAATGGACTAAACGACGCAGAGCGATACTATGACCACAACGGTAACTACGACTCATACGGTTTGTGGAGCACCCTGCTGCGCTATTCTCATACTCACACTTGTGTTATTTTCAAGCACAACCTGACACGGACTCGGATGTCGATATCTATGGCCAGCGGTATCCTCCAGCATCCTCAGAATCCCTAGGACCTTCGAGAATGGGCGTGTCAGATTCAAACGCTACGACATGGGCCGAATACGCAGGACCACAAGGCGCCCGTGATGCATATCCCGCCTGGTCGGCCGAGCGTCAAATCCCACTCTCCAAGGAGGAAATAGAAGACATTTTCCTGGACTTGACTCAGAAATTCGGGTTCCAACGAGATTCCATGCGGAACATGGTAACCTTTATTTTATTCAAAATTGTTGTGGATGTTGACAACCAATCTAGTTTGACTTTTTGATGCAACTGCTGGACAGTCGAGCATCCCGTATGTCGCCCAATCAGGCGCTCCTCACACTGCATGCCGATTACATCGGTGGTGAGCATGCGAATTACCGTAAATGGTATTTTGCAGCTCAGCTCGACCTCGATGACGCTGTGGGCCACGTTCAAAATCCTGGTCTTCAGCGCCTCAACCGCAGGGCCGGCGCTCGCTCGTCCAACGAGAAATCGCTAGCAACCGCTATGGAGCGTTGGCGCCAGGCCATGAACAACATGAGCCAATATGATCGCCTCCGCCAGATCGCGCTATACCTTCTTTGCTGGGGTGAGGCTGCCCAAGTGCGCTTTGTTCCCGAGTGTCTGTGCTTCATCTTCAAGTGTGCGGACGACTATTATCGTTCGCCTGAATGCCAGAACAGAGTAGATCCTGTGCCTGAAGGTTTATACTTGAAATCTGTCATAAAACCCTTGTACCGCTTTATTCGGGACCAAGGTTATGAGGTAGTCGATGGGCGATTTGTGAGGCGGGAGCGAGACCATGCAGATATCATTGGTTACGATGATGTCAACCAGCTCTTCTGGTATCCAGAAGGTATTGCTCGGATCATACTTACCGATAAGGTACGCTGTTATTCACTACTCACAATTATATGCTCAACCGATTTTGCAATTCAGACGAGACTTGTGGACCTTCCACCTCCCCACAGATTTATGAAGTTTCACAGCATTGACTGGAATCGCGCGTTCTTCAAAACCTACTATGAAAAACGTTCTTTTGGACACCTCCTGGTCAACTTCAACCGCATTTGGGTCATTCACGTCTCTCTCTACTGGTTCTATACTGCATACAACTCCCCTAAAGTATACCAGATCTCACTTCCTTTGAATAAAGTCTACAACTCCCCGGCACTGGCATGGTCTGTCACCGCACTCGGAGGTGCAGTTGCGACAATTATTATGATCGCAGCGACGCTCGCTGAGTTTTCGTATATCCCCACTACCTGGAATAATACTTCTCACCTCTCCCGCCGCTTGCTATTTTTGTTTATCACCCTCGCGCTGACATGCGGCCCAACCTTCTACATTGCCATTGCAGAAAATAGCTCAGATGGGACCACGAGTTCACTCGCCCTCATTCTCGGTATCGTCCAGTTCTTCATCTCGGTTGTTGCTACGCTCCTGTTCGCGACTATGCCGTCTGGACGCATGTTTGGGGACAGAGTCGCCGGAAAGTCGCGGAAATACCTCGCCAGTCAAACGTTCACCGCTTCGTATCCTGGGTTGCACGCGAAAGCGCGCTTAGGCTCAATCGCGCTCTGGGCTCTCGTTTTCAGTTGCAAAGCCACAGAATCTTATTTCTTCCTCACGCTTTCTTTCCGTGATCCCATTGCAGTGATGGTAGGGATGAAGATTCAGGGTTGTAGTGACAGGTACTTTGGCTCCAGTCTGTGCACCAACCAAGCTGCGTTCACGCTGGCCATCATGTACGTGATGGACTTAGTGCTGTTTTTCCTCGATACGTTCCTTTGGTACATCATTTGGAATACGGTGTTCAGTATCGCGCGGTCATTCATACTTGGCTTGTCGATATGGACGCCATGGAAGGATATCTACACTAGGCTACCAAAACGGATCTATGCGAAGCTACTTGCGACGAGGGATATGGAGGTCAAGTATAAACCGAAGGTCCGTTTCCTCAATCGTTACCTGAATGCACCTTAACGATGATTTTATATAGGTGTTGGTTTCGCAGATTTGGAATGCGATTATCATTTCCATGTACCGCGAGCACCTGCTTTCTATTGAGCACGTGCAGAAGCTGTTGTACCACCAGGTTGACTCGGGGCACGATGGTAAACGCAGTCTCCGTGCGCCGCCGTTCTTCATCTCTCAGAGCGATAAGGGTTTCAAGGGCGAGTTCTTCCCTTCGGGCAGTGAGGCCGAGCGCCGCATCTCCTTCTTTGCGCAGTCGCTCACGACTGCTGTTCCGGAGCCGCTTCCTGTAGATGCTATGCCCGCATTTACGGTCTTGACGCCACATTACAGTGAGAAGGTCCGTGCTTCGTTTATCTTATCCGAAGTTGTCCCGACTAAACACTTTTTAGATTCTCTTGTCGTTGAGGGAGATTATCCGCGAAGAAGATCAGAATACCCGTGTCACTCTGCTCGAATACCTGAAGCAGCTCCACCCCGTTGAATGGGACAACTTCGTCAAGGATACCAAGATTTTGGCTGAGGAATCTGCCATGTTCAACGGCACGAGTCCTTTCGGCACAGATGAGAAGGGCCAGTCAAAGATGGATGATCTGCCGTTCTACTGCATTGGCTTCAAGAGCGCTGCCCCCGAATTTACCCTGCGAACCCGTATTTGGGCTTCCCTGCGTGCGCAGACGCTCTACCGCACAGTCTCCGGTTTCATGAACTACGCGAAGGCGATCAAATTGCTCTACCGCGTGGAAAATCCCGAGGTCGTGCAGCAGTTTGGCGGTAACACGGACAAACTAGAACGCGAGCTGGAACGCATGGCCCGGCGCAAGTTCAAGTTCGTTGTCTCGATGCAGCGGTATTCCAAATTCAACAAGGAGGAGCACGAGAACGCCGAGTTCTTGCTGCGTGCATACCCAGATCTTCAGATTGCGTATCTGGATGAGGAGCCACCACGCAAGGAAGGTGGCGAATCGCGGTTGTATTCTGCGCTTATCGATGGTCACTCTGAATTCATTCCTGAGACTGGCCGTCGTCGCCCCAACTTCCGCATTGAGCTCCCCGGTAATCCTATTTTGGGTGACGGCAAGTCGGACAACCAGAATCACGCGATCGTCTTCTATCGTGGCGAATACCTGCAACTCATTGATGCTAACCAGGATAACTATCTGGAAGAATGTCTTAAGATTCGCAACATCTTGGGCGAATTTGAGGAGTACTCGGTGTCAACTCAGAGCCCGTACGCACAATATGGTCACAAAGAGTTCAAGACAAGCCCTGTAGCCATTGTCGGCGCTCGCGAGTACATCTTCTCGGAGAACATCGGTATTCTTGGTGATCTCGCCGCCGGCAAGGAGCAGACATTCGGTACTCTGTCTGCTCGTGCTTGGGCATGGATTGGTGGAAAGCTTCACTATGGTCATCCTGATTTCCTGAACGCGCTCTACATGAACACTCGTGGTGGCGTGTCGAAGGCACAGAAGGGTTTGCACCTTAACGAGGATATCTATGCTGGCATGAACGCTTTTGGTCGCGGTGGTCGTATCAAGCACACCGAGTACTATCAGTGTGGTAAAGGTCGTGACCTTGGCTTCGGTACCATCCTAAACTTCCAGACGAAGATCGGTACTGGCATGGGAGAGCAGATGCTCAGTCGGGAGTACTATTACCTGGGCACGCAACTGCCTATCGACCGTTTCCTCACCTTTTACTACGGCCATCCCGGTTTCCACATCAACAATATGTTGGTCATCTTGGCCGTCCAGTGCTTCATTGTGACAAGTATGTCTTCTCTTACGACTACGTGCGAGTTATAATTGATTGTGTTATGTAGTGGTGTTCTTGGGAACGTTGAACTCTTCTATCTCAGTGTGTCAGTATTCCTCCAGTGGCACTATTCTGCCTGGCATGGATGGCTGCTACAACTTGACACCCGTATTCGACTGGATCCACCGTTGCATCATCAGTATCTTCTTGGTGTTCATGATTGCCTTCCTGCCGCTGTTCATTCAGGGTATGCATGGTTCGTTTATCTTCAGTGGAGTACGGTTTTGACACTTTTACAGAATTGGTGGAACGTGGAACTGGTCGTGCCATTATTCGTCTTGGAAAACAGTTCATGTCCCTCTCGCCTGTCTTTGAGGTATTCTCTACTCAGATCTACACGCACTCCATCATCAGCAACCTGACCTTTGGTGGTGCCCGATACATCGCGACAGGACGTGGATTTGCAACTACCCGTATCTCATTCAGCATTCTCTTCTCTCGTTTCGCCGGACCGAGCATTTACCTCGGCATGAGGACCTTGATCAGTCTTCTCTATGTCACTATGGCACTTTGGACGCCTTATCTGATTTACTTCTGGATCTCAATTCTTGCACTATGCGTTGCTCCTTTCTTGTTCAATCCGCATCAATTCGCGTTCGCGGACTTTGTGATTGACTATCGGTCAATTGATTCTTTTGTTTTGTTTGCCTGCTTTGCTGATGAATGCATTGTAGGGAATTCTTGAGATGGAT